GGAGGGGGCTGAAGTTGAAATGCCAAGCATCAGCCTCAACACCTGAAGGATTGGAGAGGAACTTCGGAGAGGAGTGGACCAACATCCTTCCTGAGATGTTCACAAACCAGGTGACCAACTACAAGAAGCGTCTGACCTCTGTGTGTCCAACAAGGGTTTCTCCACCAAGTACTAACACATGTTCTGCAAGGGGATCAAATACTTATTTTCCTCAGTTAAATGCAAATTAATTGTTATCTTTTATATAATGTACATTTCTGGATTTTCTTTTTGATATTCTTACTCTCACTGTTAAAATAAACCTACCATTACAATTATAGACTGTACATTTATTTGTAAGTGGGCAAACTTAGAAAATCTGCTAGGGGTCAAATGCTTATTTCCTCCACTGTATAAAAACATTTCGACTTAACAAATGAAACTGAACTCTTCTGTCTCTTTCACTCAGCTGTTGGGTACACCTGAGTTATCTGATGAGATCCTGAGTTCAGTACCTAGGGATTACTGCCCTATCATCTCTCCCATCAGATGGTAAAATATGTTGAAGGAACCAATAGGAGAACAGCTCCTTGTGAGAGATAAATCCTCTCTGCAAATTGAGAGCAGCTTTAGAGGACGCAGATCTGGTAACAATTACTTGTGCCTGTGCATAAGAAACCTCCTCACCAGTGCATGTAAAACACAGGACACAACATGTATTCATTAACATTCTAACCATCATTCATCGACATCAGAAGTTTGCTCTGATCTGTGTCAGCACTGGGAACTTTGCCAGGTGATTCTGGATGTTTCTGTCAACATAAAGCTGATACATTGAATTCAAAACTGATGGTTCAAGTCCATGCTTCAGGCCTTTATTACTGTGTCTGATGATGCGGCTGCACATTCTCTAGTCATCTGATGCAGTGAGAGCCACAACAAGCCAACAGTAAAGCAGAAGTGGTATTTCAACTCTACTTATGAAAGGGAGAAATTCTACCTATTTTTACACTGATGGCCAGATGTTGAAGAATTAATCAGATGGTGTATTTAAGTAAAAGAAGAAGTACCAAAGAGCAGAAAAGTATTCTCATCAAAATATAGTTAAAGTAGCGACAGTAAAAGTAGTCATTGTGCAGATTGGTCCATTTCAGAATAATATATATGATATGTTTGATAATGATTGATCATGAAAGTGTTCTCAAAGCTGGTAAAGGTGCAGCTAGTTTGAATGACTTTGTATACTGCAGGGTAGCTTGTGGATTTACTCCAGGTGGAACTAAAGTCTGATTTAACACTTGATTATATTTCACATCATTCATCCACATCTGTGAAGTAACTAAAGGTATTAAATACATGTAGTGGAGGAAAAGTACACCATGTACCTCTGAACTGTAGAGGAGTAGAAGTACAAAGAAAGTAGCAACACATTGAAATAATCAAGTAAAGTACAGGTCCCTCAACATTGTACTTACTGTAAGTATAGTACTTGAGTAAATGTACTTAGTTACTTAACACCACTGCTGACTGCAAAGCTCAGTCACGGCCTTCACAGAAAACAATCAGTGTTTCAATAAAACGCAGACTATTTCCTATGCTGGAATCAGCATCTGTGTGGAGTTGGCTTGCAGCCGTTACTATTTACAATACTTTCAAAGAGTCATTTAGCAACTAAACACACTGTATATGTGAGTATCAACAGATGAAGCCCCAAACCAGGTTAGGTTAATGCTTGACAGATAACAGACTTGGCCTCCATGAGTAGGTGTGACGCCAAAACACAATGATTCTTTGTTAGCAGTGTCCATGCTCTCCCAATTAGACAAGAAAAGAGGCCAAGATGTGCAGAGGGTATGCTGGTATAAATCCCAGAGCTGGGAAATGGTACATCAGTATGTTCATGTTGATATGAACCTGATTGGTGCAGAAACAACAGACACTGCCAGTGTAATCCAAGGTTTCTCTCTTCAGGACACATACATCCTCTGAGGCAGAGGTTCCCAAACCCAGGGCCACATACCAGTACAGGGTTTCATAACATGTGATACCAGGCAGCAAGCAAACAATATACCTTGGATAAAACTGAATAGTACATTAGTTACCAGGGTATGACTTTGCAAGTGATTATAGCCTGGATTTTGATTGGAACAAGATCTCTCTCACTAGTGATGTTGAACTGGCATGGGATTATTTTCATGAGGCTTTTATTAGAATTATAAACAAACATGCTCCTTTCCGCAAATTTAGGGTGAAAGGGCTAAAGATCCCTGGTTTAGTCCTCACAGGCAGCTTTATAAAGGAAAGGGATATTGCCTGGTCAAGGGCCAGACAATCGAAATCCCAAGTGGATTGGATTGTTTTTAGACAGCTCCGAAATCGTTTCACCTTCCTAGTTAAAAAGGCTAAATCTGAGTACTACATTTCTAATACTACTAGTAACTTAAATGATCCAAATAAGTTCTGGAAGGTAATACAAAACTCATTTGGAACAGAAACAAAAAATGAATTACCAGCCTGCATTGTTACAGACTCGCAAACTCTCACTGACAAATCGGCCATTCTCAACGTCTTTAATGAACATTTTATTTATTCTGGTTCTTTGTTTGAGTCCCTACATTCGGGCCCTGGACAGAACGTTGATTCCTCACCACCTCCATCCCATCCCGTGGCTCAGCCATTACATTTCACATGTATCAAGGGGATAGAGGTCCATAAAGCATTGCAGAATCTGGATCCACACAAATCGGCAGGTCCAGACAAACTTCCTCCTCATTTTCTTAAATTAGCTGCAGACTTTATAGCTGAGCCGCTTACTTATCTTTTTAATTCAACTCTTTCCAACAATGAGATTCCTAATGGAAATCTGCACACATTCTTCCTTTACTGAAAGGAGGGGATCCCTCATCTGTTAATGATTATAGGCCAATTTCAAAATGATGTGTTGTAGCGAAGGTTCTTGAAAAGCTTCTCAGAGAACAACTTAAATTATTCTTGGACACAAATTATATTTTGTCAGAGCACCAATCCGGTTTTAGAAAACAACACAGCACAACAACTGCTGCTATTAAAGTGGTGAACAACATCATTGAGGCATTGGACTGTAAAAAGTATTGTGCAGCTCTATTTATTGATTTGTCAAAGGCGTTTGACACAGTTGATCATATCATCCTGGCGGAAAGACTTCACAGTATCGGCTTATCTAGGCATACTGTAGGTTGGTTTTTAAATTATTTATCAGCGAGAACCCAATGCGTCCAATTTTCTGGGTCCTCTTCTTCCTTCCTCCCGATAGCAAAGGGTGTGCCACAAGGTTCCATATTAGGGCCGATTCTTTTTACCATATATGTAAATAATCTATGTAATAATTTAGCAAATGCTTCTTACCATTTTTATGCAGATGAACTGTTATTTATTATTCCTCCGCTTCTATAGAGCAAAGTCTAGATTTCCTCCAGTCTGCCTCTGATGTCATACAAACCCATTTATATCAACAAAAGTGATGATATTTTCGAATGGCAAAAAGTTACCATCTACAGTAATCTACCCAAGATTTGTACTGCTCAAGGGGCTGACATTGAGAGGGTCACTACTTACACATATCTGGGATTTCTAATTGAACAGAACTTGTCTTTCAAGTTACACACGGAAAATGTTGTTTCAAAGCTAAAATAAAATTAGATTTATTTTACAGAAATAAATCCTGTTTCTCTTTTCAGACAAGGAAGCATTTGATATCTGCAACGTTTTTACCTGTATTATGGTGGATTATGGTGACCTGCTAGACATGAATGCCTCTGACCAATGCCTAAAGAGCTTGGATACTGTGTACCATTGAGCCTGGATGTGGATATCGAGTACACCATTGCACTTTATATGCTGCTGCTAATTGGCCATCTTTGTCTGCTCGCAGACTTTCCCATTGGTTGGGTTATATTTATAAATCTCTGCTTGGGTTGGTTCCCTCCTACATTTGCACATATATGTGTCAAAGAGAAAGTCTATATGGCCTGCGCTCCCAAGATGTGATTCAGATGCTGGTCCCTACAGTGAGAACAAAACTGGGTAAAACTTTTAAATATGCTGCCCCCACAGCTTGGAACAGAAGGAGCTGAAACTCTCAGATTTAATCACTATGGGGGAATTCAGGTCCATCTTAAAGGACAGAGAACACGACACCATTGGTAGATATGAGTGCTCGCATATCCAAAAATAGTTTTAAATGTTGCCAGTTTTGAATGATTTGTAATAGTTTGTTTTACTTCGCATATTGACTGGCTAATGTGCCATTTTATTTGTGTTTTACAGCTGTATTTGTCTGCCTGTCATGTCTGTGTTGTATCTGTTGTAACTTCGTTCATGCTGCCCTTCTTGGCCAGGTCACTCTTGAAAAATACATTTTAATCTGAATGAGTCTTTTACCTGGTTAAATAAAGGATATATATAGCAATCTGTGCAATCTTTCCCTATAAGGCTTCATGTTAGGCCCAGATTTAACATTACTGAGGGGACACTATTGTGATTTTTGGGGTTTTCCTTCTTGAAGTATGGAAACATGTCACAGTAGCGCCACTACATACTAATAGGAATTGTTTTAAACTAAAGTAGGTCCTCACACAACCAACAATGTGTTTTGGTTACAATAGTTTCCATGCTTACTCCCACAGCTGAAATGTTTAGTTTAAAACATTTGTATTCACATAGATTGCTCAGTGGGTAAAAACAAAACAGTGGAGTAAACAATGTTGTGATTTTCTCTAGTTTTACTGCCTAAATTAAGAATGAAAAAACACTTTCACTGGCCTTCTATTTGTATGTGTTTTAGGATGTGGGCGATCTGTATTTTCTAAAATGTTGTTTTTTTGTAGTTGTGGTTAAATAACGTAAGTTTATGCAGGGGATGCTCAACAGTGGACGAGAAAAAGTGTTTAGTGACCTATTCGAAGAAATACATTTGAAGTTGGTGAAAGACAGCGTAGAGTTCAGCTGATTTGTCCTGAACAAATAAGAGGAGTGGTACTTACTGTTGTTGGACGTAATGTGGCCGTACATGCTGGGGGGCTGGCTTGACACTTAGTTTCATCTGGGCCATGGTGTTAGATGAAAGGGGGGCGTAACCACTAGGAGCAGCCTGCTGAGGTATGGGCCGGTGGGGAACCCCATTGTGTCCATGCGTGTGTCCGTTTGAGGAGCCAGTGCCGTGCCCGTTGGTGGGTCCACTCCCCGGCAGAGGGAAGGGGTGTGTGGGCACCGTCTGCTGCTCGCATGCATTCCCCTTTGAGCCAGGTTTGCAGACGCAGAGCTGAGGCCGGAGGCACATTCCACCGTTCTGGCACTGAGGGCTGCAGTTGG